TTTACGAAATTATTATTATTATTATTATTACATTTCTTTCTCTCTCTCTTTCTCTCTTTCTCTTTCCGTGATAATTTTTTATTAAAAATTTCCGTCTAGAAAAAAACAATAACAACAACAACAACAACAACAATGATTTTATTTTTATAATTTTTTATTATAACGTTGATTTTTTTTATTAAACGTGTCTTTAGACTGTAAAAAATTGAAAAACGAAACAAAAAAATTTTTGATAATTAATAAAAATCTTTCGCGACGTGAAATTATTAAACAAATAAATAAATATCATTGATAATAAATATTATTAATTATTGTTATTATCATCGTCAACGATAATAAAACATGGCGGAATTCGAAATAAAGCGCGAAAAAAAAATCAATTTTTTTTTTAACGATGAAATAAATTTAAACGTTTTTTTTTTTTTCAGCAGGGAAATTTTTTTTTTTTTGAATGCGGAGAAATTTGTCGCAAAAAAAAAAAAAAAAATTGAATAAACACGTTTTCTTTATGAATGTGCATTATATAAATGCATGAAATTAGAAACGTTTCGAAAGAAAAAGGGGAGAAAGGAGGAAAGGGGAGGGGGACGAAGGGAAAAACAGGGAAAAAATTTTACAATTGAAAAAAAAAAATTTTTTTTTTTTTCCTTTTTTTTTCAACTGGGTTATAATGCTTGAATTTCTTTTTTCCACACCTGAGCTTTAGAGATTTTTATTTATCTTTTATAATTTTTTTTTCTTTCTTTCTTTCCTTCCTTCCTTTTAAACGGATGAAAATTGAAAGCGGTGAGGCGGGGGGAGGGGAAGATTCTGTGTTTAAAAAATGAGGGGGCGCTACGAGGATAAGTAATATTATTAAATTTTTTTTTTCTTTCGTCTTCTCCTCACTGAAAGGAAATGAAAAAAAAAGAAAATGGTTAAGCACTGTTTTCATTTTTCAATTAACCATAAAGAAAATGATAATAATAATAATAATAATAATAATAATAATAATAATAATAATTTTTTTTCGATAATTGTTAAATCGATTTTATCCTTCCTCCTCGAAAAAAAAAAAAAAAATTTTTTTTTATTTCCCAAATGATATTTTTTCCTAAGCGAACTTCGATGTTTTTTTTCTTTTTATTCGTTTTGATAAATTACGTTTAACAAAAAAAAAAAAAAAAGCAGAAGACAAAAAAAGAAAAAAATAAAATGCTCACGACGATTGTAAAAAAAAAAAAAATCACGTGGCGGGGTTTTAAATGATGAATTCGTAAATATAAATTTTTATTTTGATACGTGTTATTAGATTTTAACCGCATGGTGACATTTTAAAACCACGTCACACACACGCACGCACTTTTACTACTGGATCGTCGTGTAAAAAGGTTTTCCCTTCCCCTCTCCTTCACCTTCTTCTTACCCATCGTCGAATAAATATTATTACGTGTAATTAATTTTAAATTTATTTATTAAAAAAAAAAAAAAACGTTTTTAATTAAACAAATTAAAATCGTTAAATCATTTCTGTCCTCTTTCTCTATCTCTCTCTCAACCCTCCTACCATTCCATTCATTCATTCATTCTCTTCATTCATTCATTTTAATATCATTTACACGTTTATTAAATTATAAATTTAAAAAAAAAAAAAAATGGCACCGGATTAACTTACTAATTTACAAAAGAACCATTTTATTAATTATAACAATTAATTTAAAAAAAAAAAAACGAAAGTTTAAATTTTTCCATGTAATTCTCTCAAAGGAAAATACAAAAAAAATAAATATAAATAATGATGATGATGATAATAATAATAATTTAAAACAATTAAAAAATTAAACGTGGAAAAAGGAAAGCGAGAAAAAGATAAAATATAAATAAAAACGAAAAATTTTTTCTTTTTTTTCCCCTCTTGTTGTTTGTTGTTAATTTTTCATTGTTGCTGTGTTTTGTATTTGTTGTTGTTGTTCTTTTTCTCTTGTTACCCTTTTGAAAAGGGTTTGCGGTTATGAATAAGAGCAAATATATATATCGACTTGTTTATATTCTGTTTTAAAAATAAGAAATGGAAAAAGGGGGTTGGGGAGAAGCCCACATAATTTTATCATTATTGTTTTATTTTAAGAAAAGCATAAAATTGGTTTTTTTTTTTTTCACAAAGGAAAAAAGGTTTTTCCTTTCCTTACTTACCGTGTATGTAAAGATTTTAAATTTTCGAGAAAAAAAACCAAAAACGCGCGAATCTATTTACATATATTATTCTTTCTATTTGTATTACTACTACTACTCGTCGTTGTTTTATTATTTGTAGCGTTAGGAAAATTTTTCCCTTTTTTTTTGTTGTTTTAATGTTTGCACGCGTGGTTTCTTATATGTTTTCTCCGTTTTTATTCTTTAGTTATAATTACGAGTTTTATTTACAAACATATATAAATCGCAAATTCCGTACTTAAATGAATAAATATAAAAACCCGCGTTTTTTTTTTTGTTTCGCCTTTTTAATTTAGATTAGGCAACCCGCGTACTTTGTTATCATTTCGTCATTAACCAATCAGAACGATTGTGATTATCTTTTTAAAACGATTTTTTATTGGTTTAAATTTTTTTAATTTCCCTTCTCTTCGACCAATCCCTTTTTTTTAAATTTTTATATTTTTAAAACTTTTCCAAGCCCCTTCCCGCTTTTCAAAAACTATTTATATTTTAGTTTTTTTATAATAAAATCTTCGGGTGTAAAATTATGATTGAGTGTAATTAAAAATTTATATATATAGGAAAAAGATATAAAATTTTACGTTTGAAAGAGAAAGATAGTGAGAGAGAGAGAAAAGGGTAATAATTGTTCAGAAACGATGAAAAAATTTATTGGATAAGTTTTTTTTTTTTTTTTACTTTTTTCTTTAAAAAAAAAAAAAAAAGAAAGAAAAAAACGTTAAGATCCTTTTACGTGGGTTTAATGTAAAAGGATTAAAGGATTTTCTTCGGGTTTTTCTTTCTTTCTTTTTATTTTTCTTTTCCCCCGACGT